TGTGTGTGTGTGTGTGTGTGTGTGTGTGTGTGTGTGTGTGTATACATGCCTTTTACTCAAAGCACCACAGCCACTCTACACTAAAGTTCTAAATGATAAGAGTACTGTTAAGATGGTTCTCCTTCTGGCAAGCACTCCATTCTCTGCCACAGCAAAGGATCTGAATTCCTTTATAAATAAGATTTCATTTTTTATTTTTATTTTTAATAAATGTACAAATGTTTCTACAACATGTTTTCATTATGGGTTATTGGGTGCAGGTTGTACATTTTGTTCATTAAAATTTAAACCAACAACACAAAGTGCAGAAGGTGAAGATGTGAATACTTCCTGAAGTATAGCAGCTACCATTCATCTTCTAGATGAAAATCAACTCTGCACAGCTAATGAACTGAAGAGAGACAGTAAAACTTTTTGGCTGCTGTGCAAGAGAGGTATCATGGGAGTAGTTTGCCCGGCCTCTTTTCAGCCAGACTGGGCCAGTGATTTACATACACCAAGCAGGGCAGCAGTTACTCAAGTGGACTTTGAGATTTACTGGCCAGAGACTGGTCATTCTGGGGAGCTGCAAGCTCCTGAGTCCAGCTGTTTTGAGGTTGTGTTTCACTACTGTCCTATGGAGCTACAGTTCAATACAGTCAACTACATTTATTTAAAGTGATCAACCCTGTGTAATTTATTTTGTTTTGATTAAAAAGGTATTTACATTTTTAGTCTAAGCTAATGATAATATATAGTATAGTAAAGAACAAAGTACATTAGGTCATTTCACAAATGCAGCATGTTTAGAAAAGTGTTAAATTCAGGATGAAGTCATAGCACCCTGTTACTGAGAGTTACTGAGAGAATGTGCAGAGTAATCTTATCATGAATTGGATGCAGATGCAGTGATTTTCACATTTGTCCTGTGACCTACACAAACTGTTACTACACCCACAAATAAATTATTTGTGCTGTACATTTCAAGTGTGGTGACATTGCAAGGACACTTGTTTGGCATCACACTATACTGAAAGTATATTCTCTATGCATTTCTTTGTGTAATATAAATAGATGTAACAGGGTTCTTTTCACAGCTATTGACACACTAATTATTTACTGGGAACATCTAACAAGTGGCAAATAAAAAAATAAGCTTCTTGCAACAAGTGCTGCTGAATTTTGATTTATAACCACAAATCCAGACATGAATATTGAGCAGACTGAGTTTGAGTGGATAATAAATGTTTTTACAGAAGACAAATTACTGATGTCCCCAGTTCAGTGAAAAGATGCCAAGTTCAACTGTCTGTACGGCAAAAGTAACTGATACCATTTATTAACATCTGCTCAGTCTCACACACTGCTCTGATGTGCAGACATGGTCTTTGCACCACCTCCTCTCTTTTTCTGACTGTAACGAGTAATTATATATCTAATATAAAATCATATCACTTTCTCTGGCCATCATTTTCCCATCAGATCATCTTACATGTTTCTTCTTGGTAGGTGCATCATTTTTTCCCTTTCATCAGTTCAGTGTGTGCTGCTCAGGAACAGACCTGAACTGAGTCTTCATCAACCACCTGAGCTGTGAGCACTTCACTTAAAATGAAAGAAAATGAAATGTCACATTATTCATTGTAGCCACAATATCCTGGCTAAAGAATCCCACCTGTTCTTACTTGAATATACACTGTGCCCTTCCATAGTCCTGCTGATGAAGTGCTAGTAAAGTCATGTTTTTGTAGCTTTTACTTTAGATTGAATCAAAGCCACATATAAGGATAATCACCTTTACTGGCCAAGTATGTTACACACAAGGAATTAGTTTCCAGTACAGAAAGAATATTTAAATCACATTTTTGTCTTTCTTGATCCATGTTGTGCAAATTATTTTTGCAAATATGACGAAATGGTCATCTGTCCTTTTCAATGTTATTTTTCCTGCCCATCTATAAGTGTCAGTGGAGTCCATACTTATAGCTGTTTTCTGTTTTTGTCTGATGGAAGCAAGTTTTACTGCTGTGCCTTCAGTCTCTTCACCTCTGTGTCCTCTTGTAACAGAATGAATATTACTGTAGGTTAGACTTTCTGTGGAAGAACAAGTTCAAGAAGGAATGTGAGGAGATTGAAACCATGGAGAACCTCAACCGGGTTTTGCTGGAGAATGTTTTGCCCGCACACGTTGCAGAGCACTTCCTGGCACGCAACTGGAAAAATGAGGTAGGCATCCTTTATGTTTTCTTTTGGTTGTAAATCATTAAAACTCTGTTGTGAATAATGGCTGCAGAACTGATAAATTATAGTTGAACAGAGACCTTGCAGTACCAGTGGATATATGCCAAGATCTATTAAATTGATTAGCTCTGAAGAGGCATTGCAAAAGCAGCTTACCTCAAACATAAATTGTCAGTATGTCTGTTTAGAAACCCTATGTGCTTATTTATTCATTTCTTTGCTATTAGATTGTTAATCCGCTCAAAATGCATTCAAAACCAGGATCAATAAAAGAATATTAAAGTGTTAAATGTGAATGGAAAGTACTGCAAGTTAACTCATTGGACATTTAAGGTGTTCAGTGTTAAAATTCTGGTTTTTATTTGTTAAAGATTCGTATCATTAAATAGAATAATACTGTAGTATTAGGATGCTCAATTGCCTCTAATGATGACAAAACATTGGCGGGTTGAATTTGCTGACTTGCCTGAGAGGCTCTTATTCATCATTCTGTACCCTGTTATATCCCCTGAGTGCTTCACACAGTGTGAACTAAGAAAAGTAAAGTTTTGCATCTTGGGAAGTTTGGGGGACATGATGTCAGGTGAATTTAAATAGGAGTGCTACTTCTGCTGTAAAACATTCAGATTGGAATAGTCAGTAAAACCAGTGTTCCAGCACTTGAACAGGATCTAGGAGCAAGTTGAGGGTCTAATGGATTTTAGCGCAGTTGTTATTTGGATAATGGTTTGGGTGATTTGCTGACCTTTATTTGTCTATCTAGTTTATAACCTCTGTGCTCCTACAGAAGAGTTGTGTTTAAATCGAAGAGTTCTGCCGAATACTCACGTGTTCCATATGTAACATTCGTTCATTAGACTAGTGTCATGCATATTCCATTATGGCAAAAGTCTGTGGTTTTATAATATTGTTTTGCAGCTATCCAAGTCTGTATTTTGTCTCCTGCTTTCTATCATGTAGGATCTGTACCACCAGTCCTATGACCTGGTGTGTGTCATGTTCGCCTCGATCCCAGACTTTAAAGAGTTCTACACAGAGTCTGACGTCAACAAAGAAGGCTTAGAGTGCCTCAGGCTCCTCAATGAAATCATTGCTGATTTTGACGAGGTAAATAACTTTCACAAAACCGTAGACATGCACCACAAATACTAGAAACACGTAACTTTTCTAGTAGGTCTTAGTGCTATTCTAGTAATACATATGTGACTGGGCGCTCTGTGCAGGATAGCTACGTATTGTGATGGTATCCAAATACGCCATCTGTCCTCTATTGACAGATGAGGAAAAACAAGAGAAAAGTTGTGCACTGTGTAAATAATGACATTTTGTCCATATACTGTATGAATAAAGAGGTGCATATATTATCAAAAATCATTTTCCATTAAACTGTGTCTTGTATATATTACAGTATATTTATATATTTTATAAATTGTGTTTGTTTGTAGCTTCTGTCCAAACCTAAATTCAGTGGTGTGGAAAAGATCAAAACAATTGGCAGCACATACATGGCTGCTACCGGGCTGAACGCATCAGCTGGGCCTGAGAACACGTCACAGGTACACCCAGCGTGCACAGCCGACTTTAGTTGAGAGATTCAGACACATCTGTTGTACTGTAATTCTTCATTTCTGTGTGACTGCCACAAAATCATGTACATGTAACTAGTAGAAATTAAAGTGTTAACTTTGTTGTGTTCTTCACTGATTCCCAGGAGTATGACAGGCAATACATGCACATAGGGACCATGGTAGAGTTTGCATTTGCTTTGGTGGGGAAGCTGGACGTTATCAACAAACACTCCTTCAATGACTTCAAACTCAGAGTTGGTGAGTTACACATGAAAGCTACTTTAAAATGCAAGTGCTTTGAGAACAAGTTTGTTTGTCTGTTTAGTTACAAAGAATTATCCACCTTATCAAAATTATCTAAAACTGACTGCACTGTGAATTCAGACATTTGACCTGTTAGTAATACTGATCACAGAGAGAGAAAGGAAAACAAAGTGCTAAATATAACAAAATTCATCAGCGGCGATGTGACTTTGCTGTCACTTGTCAGAAATCAAAATGTAGCAAATAAGTAAGATTAAGTACGAGAGCACAACACTATCCCTGCTCCCTGGGTCTGAGTTACAGCTCTCTTTTGTTCCTGTATTATCAGAAATATTTCATATTATATTTATGTTTATTTTCATACGGCTAAAGTGTGGTATATAACCCGGGGTTTACATCAGAATTAACCTGAAGGTAAATGGCAGTAACTCTGTGTTCCATTGATATGTTATGTACTACCATGGCCTTTTTTATCCATCTAAGAATTTTATTTCTGGGGCACCAGTATTCTGTGGGGGTCATTTCATTATTTTAACAAACAGGGAAAGATGTGTACATATAAATATCAAGAAAATAAAACATGTCAGCAAGATGCAAGTATAGATATGACAGCATACAGCGACAAGAAAAATGTAGGTGAATCATTCGGAGTTACCTGGTTTTTGCATTACATGGTCATAAAATGTGATTTGATCTTCATCTAAGGCACAAGTATTTAAAAAAACACCTGTGCTTATTATATACATCATTATGATCTTTTGGGTCTTTATTGAACACACCACTAAACATTCACAGTACTGGTGGAAAAAGTAAGCACTTGGATATAATACCTAGTTGAACCACCTTTGGCAGAAACAATCACAAATTACTGCTTCCTGGAGCTGTGAATCAGACCTGCACAATGGTGGGGAGGAATTTAGCACCATCCTTTACAAAACTGCCTCAGCTCAGCCATATTGTTAGGATGTTTGGTGTGAACAGTTCCCTCGAGGTCATTCCATGGTACCTCTATAGTGCTAAGCCCTGGGCTCTGGCCAGGCCACTCCAAAAGGTGAATTTGTTTTGTTTGAGGTCATTCTATAGTAGATTTATTTTGAAATTTAGGGCCATTGCCCTGCTGCATCACCCACTTTCTAGCTTCAGCTGGTGGACAGTCATCTTTTCACTATCCTGTGATACCGTGATAAACTTGGGAATTCATTTCCTCTTTGATGATTCCTTGTTTCTAGAAAGTAATGAACCACATGAAGAACAGAGTAGCCACAGCAGTAAATCATCTCCATTTATAGACTGTTTACAGTTGCCTTATAAATATCTGAGCATTTTGAGATTTGCGCAAATCAACAGTTCTTGATCATATCTCCTCTGAGATCTCTCTTTTTGTGAGGCTTGTTTCACGTCACCAGATGCTTCTTGTCAACAGCATATCCAAAATGTTTGATTGTTTTTAAAAGTCGAAGTAGTTCCAAGCCTCACATTTGCTGACTCCAGCTTGACTCTTAGCTTTTGTTCATGCTGGCCTAGCTAGCCTAGTGTGGGGGTTCACATACTTTTTCCAACCTACAAAGTGAATGGTTGAATGGTGTATACAAATAAATTCACTACAAAAAAAAAATCCAATGACTTGAATGTTAAATTGTTAATTCTTGTAACTTAGATGATCTGACCATATTTGAAGACAAATTTATAAAATGTAGGTAATTCCACTTACTTTTTCTTGTCACTGTAACAGCAAAGTGAGAGGGACTAAAGAGTAGAGGGAGAACTGAAGAAGAAAGCAGGCGGGCAGGTCCCAGCTCTCTGCATGCGGTAAGAGTCGGAGTTCAATATCTTCAACCTGTCTGCGAAGATCACAGCATGGGATGCTTCATTAGCTCAGCAGTGTGTGTGTGTGTGTGTGTGTGTGTGAGACTGTACATCCCTGCTGCTTACAGACAGGCCTGAAACACTCCATCAGAGAGAGATAAAAGTCCCCACCCACTGGGAATGGACAGAACCAGTCACTGTGTGCCTGTGTGTTGCTAGCACACTTGCACAAACTGATTCAGTGGCCAGTGTGACGAGAGGCCTGGGGGTCATCTCAGTGCTGTGCAAAGCTTCAGAGCTTTTCACTGAGCACACTGAGGTGTTAAGTGTTAACACCTTGAGAATTTAGCTGCATTTGTAGCTGTGCTCTGGTTGCACTAAAAGTATAGTAGCAATATCAAAAATGGATTTTAATATGCCCAACAATGTTCAATTATAACATCCGAAACAAAAACACTATCATTTGTTGTATACAGTATCCGCTTGCTGTTTTATGATGTTGTTGCACTTCATCTAAAAATTTTACTCGTTACATAGACATAATGTAAAATCTAATAGCCAGTTAATGTCATAAATTGTGACCGTTAGAAATGTTTAATTCTTTGTAAATGCGAACCAATACTATCATGTCCTTTGTGCTGTAATTCACATTTAAAAAAAGAATGTGAAAATGTAGTAACTGGGTAAATATGATAGATGATACAGTCATCTGAACTGCTCACTTTGCTTTGTGCCCTTTGACAGGTATTAACCATGGTCCGGTGATAGCTGGAGTCATTGGAGCCCAAAAACCACAGTATGATATCTGGGGAAACACCGTGAATGTAGCCAGTAGAATGGACAGCACTGGGGTCCTTGGAAAAATACAGGTACCTTGAGTTTCGCTTTTGTGATATTCAGAGTTTTTATTTTTGCTGATATATCCCATGATAAACACCATAGCCAACAATGAATTGATCCTACTGACTGGTAGAGACACCGTAGCCCAAGTCTGTTGTATCTTATCCCTATGGAACCGGTTGTCATGATCATTACCATGAACATGGACACTGTAGTAAATTTTTACTCGGATCTTACTATGTCGATGAATCTGCAGTTTAAAATAGTTCCAAACTAGACAGCACTCAGAGAATACAAACTTTGTTCAAATCCGCTGTGTTCTGGCACATTTGGATAGACAAACATGCAGTCAGCCAACATGCACAAAAGCACAGCTGTCAAACTGGCTAACCTAAAGCACTTGTTACAAATGTTATTAGATACAACTGTGTTTTCCTGCTGTGAAAAAGGTCTGTTACTTGGATTAATAATTTTTTTCGAAAATGCTGCCGGACACACAGTTTTGTTTAATGTTGTCAGAAGCAAAGTACAGGCAAGACAGGGTAGTTTGAAGTTACTGACACACACACACAGAGAGAGAGAGATTTGTTTTAGTATTTTTCATAGGGTTTCTTGATAATAGCAGCGACTCCTGCCTTGGCCATATCCTGTGATGCATTCATGAACAAACCAGTTCAGTAATCTGTCAAACATCACATTTTGTTTGGAGTTGCCTTTTTCTTTTAATGCTTCATTTTCAAATGTAGATATTTTGAATGTCAGTACATATGTTTAAAAGATAAAATCTTGACTCCCTCTGCTTCTGCTATTTAGGCTTTTCACTTGCACAGCATGTGGCTGTGGGACTTATTCAGTCTTCAGAAGGTCTTATCACACTTGGCAGCCTGTACACATTTTACAGATCTGCTGTGCAGCACAGCACAACTGCAGTGTTTCCCCTTGTGTTCAAAAACTACCTGTTATTAAGATATACAGTAGCAAGAGTATTTCTCATCCCATTTTAATTTTACAGACATTTGCTCATTTAAAAATTCAGAGAGCATTTTTTTTAATGTTGCTCGAAGTTTCCTCTTTTTTCATATTACAAACTGAATTTTATGTATAAGCTGTCATTTACAATATGTGCTTTGTATATCTTATCCTTAAGATTTTAAAATATATAGTCAATTCAAATTTTGTCTGCTAAAACCCAGTAGAGATGTGGTGCATGCTAGGCAGACATGAATTTACTTTTCCTCAGCTCTTGGAAATGTATATTTATTCTAATGGAGAACTGAGGGTTTTAGCCTGCAGTAATTTAATCCAGTTGTGTAAAATAAGCAAAATAGCTATTAACCATCTGGTTCTCCCTGTAGGTGACAGAGGAGACGAGTCGCATCCTTCAGACCCTGGGTTACATGTGCTCTTGTAGAGGCATCATCAATGTCAAGGGTAAAGGAGATCTTAAGACCTTTTTTGTGCACACAGAGATGACCCGCTCACTATCCCAAGGCAATGTAATGCCGTAAGACTGCTTCAGAATATGCTAAATTTACACAGGCACAAAAACAGACATTTCAGGTAGAGGAGGTTTGGTCTTCTCAACATTGTGGTAACAAACAAAGTGGGAGGCACAACAAAAGTCAGATCTGCACTGCAAGGCGGAGGAAAATCTGATTTTAATGTTACATTGAAAGTTGCCACAGCTGTACTATACATTTTATCACTTAATGTAACTAAGTGTAGCATGTGCAGCAAGTAGGCAATCACTCTTGATATATTGTAATCTGAATGCTGGTTTTCAAAAAAGCCACAGTGGCTGATTCAGTTCTGGGAAACATGTGGCACTCACTTTGCCATAAAAGCCTCTTTTTCAGCCAGGTGCATCAGAAACAAACTAGATTCCATTCATTTACAGTACACTTTGGATGTCAAGCTCTAAAGTGTGTGCCAGCAGTTTTACATCAAGGCCTGTTGATGAACAATGATAATTAAAAACTGTTGCTATGGGTATGAGGACATTTGGGTTCCCCCATCTTAACCAAGTGATACACAAGGCCATAGCTGGAACAAACAAAAGGGAAGACTGCATGTCCACTGTTTCAAAGGTAAAGCTGGTTCTGTTTAAACCCGCAGCCAACAAGGAAATGTGTGTACATAATCCATTGACCTTGTTAGAAGTCTGGATGTATTCTACAGGCTGTCTAAGATCATATAAAGAAACACACCCAAGTCTATGAATATACTGTAGCAGGCAGAGTTTCCCAAAACTGTTTTTATATTTTAATCATCTTGTCTCTACTGACTGTTTACCCAAGACTAAAAACACTAATTAAGTTTTATGATGATGGTCAAATTTGTCAGCACCTGCTAGAAATAGAACAGCTGGTGATTGCTGTTCAGACAAGGCTGACAGGAGCAGCCCTGAACCAAAAAGATTTAAAAGCCAGGGCGGGTAAGACTACTGGATTAAAACAGAGATAAAGGTGATTTTAATGTGAGGATTTTAATTTTGGGAAACCTGAGCCTGATTGTGTACAGGGTAGCTTTAGATCGCTTATGGTATGGTGGTTTTGTAAGAAAAGAAAATATTACCAAAAAAGTGTTTTGATGTTTTGATGCCACAGTTTTTTTTTTTTTTTGTTAAAAACAAAATAAAATTTCTATGTATTTAATTCTACAGAGTGCCATTACTTGCCTGTTGGGTTTTAACAAGCTGATAGCTTATTAGCATGACAGGACTTAGAATAAACAGTAGGATGATCAAAATATCCCTGACCGATGCTCTTTTTGCCTAAACTGGTCTGTGTGAAGCTGATGTCACAGCAGTCAAATAAACAGACATCGCCCACGGGTCACAAGTAGAATCAGTCCTCTATGTTTCAGCATGCTTTTGGCTGTAGAACAAACATCACAGTTGAGATTAGGTAATGCTGCTGTTGAGCAGGTACAATATGTCTGCACTTATCAGGGCCAAAGTTGACTCATTAAGTGAAACAGCATAGTTTATGTCCTGTCTGCGTTACACTGTCGCAAAGCAGTGTCCATATTAACAGAGTAGCATTTAAAGCTGCATTAACTAAGATTCAGCACAAATTTGGATGAATCAAGCAAAAAAAAAAAAAAATTGTCTGGAAGTGCTGTCTCCGTGCTGTACTCACCCCCCACTATCTTCAGGCGTTATTTATTTCTTGCCCTCTGTGGCCACTGTTGTTAAAATCCACACCCAGCTTTTTCCACATCCCCACTGATCTGAGGTTATAAGATGTGTTTTTCAAACCAGTATGGTTCATTTCAAAGAGACCATGAAGGCTCCCTGTACAGGTACAACCCAGTATGGGAGCAGACCCGTTAGACCCAAAAGGCCATGTTTTATAGCACAGAAGTGCGAAAAAAGGACGAGGTAAAACCAGAGTTAACAGCAGTTTGGCATGTTGGAGATAGAGAGCACTAAAAACATCCAAAGGCCTAAAATTAAACACAAACGCAGCTTTCTGCCTGCTAGACACTTACGTACTGTAGCAGGTTAATGTGCATGTTTTGGCATCATCCCTCTGTAAAATTTTCTGGTTACTGCAGATACATATGTATGCATATCACTAAAATTGTGTCACTGCAATGCTACTGAAAACCACAGGCTCTATATTCCACATACATTAGTTCTGGGGCCAGTTGTTACTGCTGCACTACCTGACTGCCACAACCGACTCTGGCTGTCGTTACCAAACGTGACCTAGTTTCACAGACGGGGCATGAGGGGCAAGGAGGAGCGGAGGGAGAAGAGGAGGGGATACTGCTCGACTTTGTTTTGATTCTCACTTTGCCTTTAATGGTCAAAAATTAGAGGGAGAAGTTAGTTAATGCAGCTTTAAATTCTTGATTTTAAAATTACAAGTAGAGAAAAATACAGTCAGGCACACTCAAAGTCATGATTAGCCAATTACTGACAAAGAGAGCCTCTATAAGCAACTTGTGTCTTTGTTCTTATTTGTGCAACATAATTAGACAAAAAAAAAAACAGAGGGCCTCCAATAAAAATGGTCATCTCCATCCTAATCTAAAATAATGTTATAGTAGGTAGGTTACACATATCAAAATACACTGTGGCCAAAAATACTCTATCTGAAGACCAAAGGCAATAATACTGAACAAACAGTCTGAAAAACCAATTAAATGACTTTGGCCTGACCTTTAGTTGTGACAGGTGTCTTCGTCACTTATGACCTCAAGTAGAACAAATAACACTGTCATGATGTTAGTCATTCTGGTTTTGACCCTGTGTTAACTATACTAAATACTGTACATTTTCTGACCTCTTGACATTTACTGCACAGGAATATGCTATTCAGTCGCTAAGCTAGGTTACATGTGCTTAGAGCAAGTGTCAGGGATTGCTGGTTTTTAAAAGACAGCTATATTTCCAGGGAATTTGTTCCATCATATGAAACCACTTTTCACTACTGATATCCCCACTCTCACGCAGTTGTTTTTTTTTTATGGAAAAGCTAACTTGTAACCTCTTACCAGATGTGCCTCAGTGTCAACGTGAAGTTACTTGACGTCACAGAGGAGCGCCACACCCCGTAGGATCCAGTATTCTGGAGGAAGCAAAGTCTTCAGATCAACAGCTGCAATGTAATTAATGTCTGTCCTGACTGGCTTTTTGTAGACTGGACATGAGTAGAGGCGCGGATCCTTCACACCTGGAAAAACACAAAAGAACAAGTTGTGTCACTTGATACACTCCGCAGAAGAAATTCAGCATTGGCAACATTTGATGAGAATGGTCAAACATCTTTATACCTAGAATTATTATTCAAATCAAATACTGTATGTACAGTGTTGTGGAGATGCCACTGGGACACCCAGTGATGCTCAACAAAAAATTTGGTCTGCTCAAATCAAGCAAATGATTCCAGTTAGGAGAATAAGTGGTTATTTCCCACTACTCCCTCACCACCACCTTCTTATTCTATGGTTTTTATGCAGTCATCATGCTAGCGGGTTGTTAGTATGCCAGTCACAAGATGCTGGAGTGTTCCTCAACAGCCCAAGTTAGCACAAAAACCAACAATCCTTTTCACAAGAAAACAAGTAGCTCTTGTTGAGTAAGACTTCAGAGGTGATGGAAACATTCATAAAATTATTCTCTTTGACGGGAGTCACAAACGGGTTTTCAAGACTCACTCATAGTTGTGCACACACATGTTGTACATAGTCATAGATGATCTTGTAACCACTTGCCTATAAACCTCATCAGTCTCCTTTGCACTAACACCCCGCCCCCGCCCCCCCGCAACACACACACATTTACACACAGAGCAATCAGCCTTCTTGCAGGAAAAACTAGGATGGGACATGCTGTAGACAAACCGCATTGCGTATGATTAGATCATTAATTCATTTCCCAGGGAGCGTTGCTTGTAGGTGTCCATGAGACCTCCTCTCTCAGCTGCCTGCCTGACTGTAAATCTAGTGTGGTCCTGTAGAGAACAAACACTATGCCAAATACTGCTGGTAATCTTTTACCAAACACAATAAACAGCACTTAGACTGCTTGACATTTAAATGTTATATCCATCCATTGTGAGTGACTGTGTAGGATGCAGATATTAAGGGGGGGAGAAAAGACTGACAGAGACTACAAAGACTGATCTTCAATTCCAGCTTTTCCATTGTAAGATTAGGAGTTTCCTATACAAACGTATCAAAGTACACTTTATTTTTTTTATTATTTTTTTTTTAATTGGAAAAAAATCCCATGGTTTTGTTCCATCTAATGTTCTCAGATAATTTATCTCACCATTATTCTCAGCATACATCCTGATCACAGGCATCATCTCGAAGAGAACTTTGGGTTTGGAGTCAATGAGTTTGCAGCTTCGCCGGTCCCAGCCGGCTCCCTCCAGGTACAGGCCATAGACATACACTCCCTCTGTGGGGGGTTGGGTGATGTCATCCTTCATCCATCTTGTCACCTCATTGCACAGGACCATGCGGTCCAGGGCCCAGCCCTTGTTGGCCCGAGTGATCTCCTGCAAGTACAGGAACAAATTCAAAAGTTATGTGGGGGGTATGACTAAGATGCACACACTCTAAAATAAATTCAGTATGACTCAGTAAGGACACAGAGTCAGTACTGTGCACAACAAATCAATAAAATGTAAGTATTGTATTTCTTCAGTCATTTATACCAATTTTGAGAAAGGAAAAAAAACGACAGTAACCTTACTGAGAACAATTGAATAGAGGCTGATAAATGAAACACACTATACTAGATCTTATAAGCAATCCAGGAATTTTATCATGCCACACAGAATCACAGCACTGCACAGACACACACCGAGATGCCAGTGGACCAACAAAAGCTGCAACATCTCTCTTGAGAATTTGGTTTATAAGCTTGATGAGAGGATGTGACTGCTTTATTTGGGAATCAACACAAAAGTTCAACAAATCACTGCTCAGTAAAATATAGACATCTGTATTCTCGAGCTTCATCTCCAGCATGAAAAAAAAACAAATATAGTAGAAGGCAGTCAGATGTGCAAATCTGGCACCAATGCTAAATGATTTCCTATTCCTACTACTTACATTGCAAAGTAAATTTCTTTCAAACTGCTTGATAGTAACAAACACTGGAAGAACATAAATTCCTGTGTGAAATAAATGTTTGTAGGTGTAAGCATTCAAATTACAAATATCTGTAGTATTCAGTCCCCCAGATTAATATCAACTGCAATTCAATAGAAAACAAAGAGAAGTGTGTGTGGCTTGCGGTTGTGTGCTTGCTTGAGCGTGTAAATGTGGCCATGTGCCTGCTTCTCCCTCTATGTACCATCTGGTCTTCTCCCCAGCAGTGGGTAAGTAGGCAGGTAGCCTGTGTACCTGTCTCATGGCTGTTAGGAAGCCCTGTGGGTTAAAAAAGCCTGCCATCCAGAAGCAGCTGGGTCTCCCTTCAAAGATCCAAGCCTGGAACTGCCGGTTCCGCTCGAGCAACTCTGTGAACCAGAACCCCAGGGTGCTGGAGGCCCACGACGCCTTAAAAACAAAGACAAACAACAACACGAACAAAATATGAGGATCAACCACTGAATACTGCCATCCAGGTGGATCAGAGGAGAAGACATGAATGAAACGTCACTGCATGGCAACAGAAAAATAAAGAGCTCAGCACAATAGAGCATAAAAAGGTTAGGATACAACAAAGTGGAGACATATGAGCCAAAATCAGATGGCACTGCATGTAGAAAGTCTCTGAATCCCAAACAGGAAGCCTTGCAATTCTAAATTATTCTAGGCATTACATCTTTATTTTCATACACAGAGTCAAGTCAAGGTGAAAAACATTAACATTAGAAACAATAAGCATCAAAACGAGAATAATCTAATAATATAATGTTTGTGAAAGCACAGCTTGAATGCCAGCAAAATGATTCATAGACAAGCTACGGGAAGTCATGCTGCATGCTTCTGTTGTTCCCACCCCACCAGAGCTGGTACTACTTTCAGAAGCTACTCAGGAAATTGAGTCTCATCTATTTGGTTATGACTTTTTTTAAAATGTAGGGATGAAATTCAAATGTATTGTAATGTGACAACTGTAAGTGAAGTTCAGTTTGTAATTTTAAATTTGTGAC